TTAGCTTCTTGGCTGCAAAAGGACTACCTTTTCACCAGAGGTCACTGCCTTTGTGGTACAGTTCACCAGAGGTCACTGTCCAGGAAGAATAAGGGTGCCTGAGAAGTCAGCTGGCGAAATTCCTTAGGCGCTTTACATCTTGTGATCTGGACTTCCTATGATGGACTGTTTATTACATCACCTTTCTTTCCAACTCAGACCAGGGTGGAGTGGCCTCCAGATAATGGAGTGAAAGGCTGTCCTCAGAGGGTGGGGAGGGCTTCTGGTGGAACAGAGGAGAGGAGGGACTTGGGGAGATAAGAAGAGAGGGTCAGACAGGGGACAGGCCTGGTGGAGGAACAAGTCATTTAACATCATTCAGGCCCTCCACCTCTGACTCCTTGGATTATGGAGCTCTGCCTTCAGAGCCTCAACCTCTCTAGTAGTGATGCTAGTGACAATATTACTAGGTGCCAGGTATGGGCAAGGACTTTGCTTGAGCACTTGCAACCTGCTTTTGAGAGACTAAAGGAATAGTTAAGGGCATGGTCTCTGGTAAGCTTTCTGGGTTCAAATCACTTACATTTTGAGTAATTCTGAGCACTGTTTAAACCTTTTTATATTTCAGTTTCTGCTGCTGTGAGTGGGGTTAACAGCAGTACCTGTTTTGTAGCTCATTCTAAGGACTAAGTGAGTTACCACATTTCAAACACCTATGACAGCAAGCAAGGCACATGGCAAGCACCATGGGCATGGGTTGTTTTAACCTTATTACCGTGGGCATGGGTTGTTAGAACCTTATCTTCTTAAGGGCTTTTTTCATTCATCTTATGTAAAAGATCCCTCACCACAAGTTACTCACTGTCACTTATGGTCTGAGAGCTTCTCCTTCTAACTTGTTTATTGATTGTTTTCCACTAATGTGGAAGTGCCGTGGGAGCCGGGCCTGGGTCCGAGACATAACATGCTCAGCACCTGCTTACTGAATTGAATTATTTCACTGCATCTTCCTGAGTCTTATGAAGCAGATACATTGTCCCATTTTGTGGAGGAGTAGAGGGAAGCACCAGTGTTCCCTTTGTTTGCTCAAAGTTGACTACCTAAGACTCAAACCCAAGTTGACTCAAGAAACATCCATTATAAGTTCTGTGCTGGGTTGGCCCCTTTTACTCAAACTCTGGGAAGGCTGGAAAGGATGAAAGGGAAAGGACTGGAACAACTTTTTCCTCTTTCAGTTGTGGCTGAAAAGTTGGGGAAATAAGCCGTAATTAAGTCTTTATTTTTTGCTTACAGAGCTCAGCCCCAGCAACCCCTGCCCTCCTTTGTAACTGACCCCAAAGCCTTTCATTCCAACTCACCCTCATCCTCTCCAACCACAGGCCCATCATCATTCCTCCCACCTGATTTTTCTTCTCGATCTCTTTTTCAGGCTCATTCTCCTTACCCTTGTGAGGCAGGATTTTGGTTGGGGTTGATACCAGGGCCTGAGACCAACACTGGTAAACCAGAGAAGAGAAAGTTTGCTTTCTTTTATATTGTTAGTATAAGAATTTCCATTCATTTTCTCTGAGTCATCCCCTCCCAGTCTTCTTTTTTCTGGGACATCTTTGCAGCTGCCCTTGATTACACATAGTGTAACATTTTCTCCACACACGTTTATGAGGTTGGTGACTTCATTTTCTTAACCCAAGTATGCATTGCCGGATAGCTGCCTGATCCTGCCTCCTAGCCACTGATCAAGGAGAGTCTGTCACAAGGCCCCAGACAGGGTGAATCCTGGATGAAAACTCTTCTATCATCTCCCTAAGTCCTAGACTTTTATCCCAATTATTCAGTGGTTTTTCTGGGGATCTGTCCAGGGTTAGAAAGCAGTCAAGTCACATGAATGTCAGGGTAGGGCTGACATCTAGAGTCATAGGGGTGTAGAGTCAGGACTGAGGCCAGGCCGGCTATGCATGTGATCACAACACACTCTTCTGTCCAGTTGGGAAAGCACTTGGCATTGTTCTAGGGTAGGGCAACAAGTGGATGGAGACACATCAGTGATCACAGAATCATGATACTGTTACTTCCCCCAGCATGGACAGGCAAGAGGGTGGGGGAAGAAGAGAAGGGGAAGACAGAGTGCTAGGGATGGTCATAATGGCCTTGTTAATGCCATTCTGCAATCTAGTAAAGATAAATAAGTTGGATGAGAGGAATACTTTTTGAAAGAAAGCAGAAAGACACTGGTGGACTAGATCAGAGTATAAAACTAAGGCTGAGATTTAAGAGGCTGAGTTCAGGATTAGTGACTGGTGAAGAGCAGAGGGTTAGAGGCCAGGAGCACAATGCTATTCATAAACAGGTGGACTGTTTTATGGTTTAAAAAATAAACTTAGTGAACCTTAAAAAAATAGGTAGACTAAAACATCATATACTGAAATTGTAAAACAAATTTCTCATAGTTTTTTTGTTTTGTTTTGGTTTTGGTTTTTTGAGATAGAATATCTCTTTATAGCCCCAGCTGGCCTGGAACTCACTATGTAGACCAGTCTGGCCTCAATCTCACAGAGATCTGCCTGCCGCTCCCTTCCAAGTGCTGGGAGTAAAGGAGTGTGCCACCATATCCAGCCTTCTCATATGTTTTTTAAAAATCTGTGTAATTTGTCTGCAACATATTGCTATGTGTCTTCCTAATACTTTTTCTTTTTTTAATATTTATTTTTTTATTTTTCAGAAGAAGCATTTCATTACAGCTTTAACATACTCAATAACAGTTTCCAGGGCAAAAATACATCTCTTTCAAAAGTGGCTATAAAATTTTTAGGTTCACTGTTGAATTAATACAGTTATACAATACTGAACTCAGTTTAATGAGCATTCGCTAAATATAGAGGTAGGCTAAGCCATGTGTAGTGGTGCATGCCTCTAATCCCAGCACTTGGAGAGGCAGAGGCAGGTGGGTATCTGTGAGTTTGAGACTAGTCTGGTCTACATAGCGAATTCCAGGCCAGCTGAGGCTACAGAGGCCTTGTCTCAAAAAGGCCAAAAAGAAGAAGAAGCAGGAGGAGGAGAAGGAGGAGGACGAGGAAGAGGAGGGAGGAGGAGGAGGAAGAGGAGGAGGAAGAAGAGGAGGAGGAGGAGAGAAAAAAAGAAATAGGCTCAAAGAAAATGGGGTCCTTTGTATTATTTACAGATAAAATTGACAGTAGAATCCCAGGTTTCTTGGGTCCCGCTTTGTCCAGCTTTGTCAGAGATAGCTTCACTATAGAGATATATGGCTTCTGAATGAATCCAATGAGGAGACAATTCTGGTTCAGGCATGTAGAGTTGGCCTGAAATTTTCCTTACTACAAATTCTACCAGCCAAGGAGCTCTGTGACCCAGCAGTTCCATTCCCGGATATATTCCCAGAGAAATGAGTGTATTGGATCCACCAAAAGATAGATATGAGAATATTCAGAGCAACTTTATTCACAGTCACCGAAACCCAGAAACAGCTCATGCTTGTTTACAAAGAATGGGTAAACAAACTGTAATCCAATGGAATGCTGCTCAGCAATAAAAGGAATGAACTACTGACCAATGGCAAGAATGAATCACATCACAAAGGCACCTGGGTGAGCAAAAATAGGCCGGGATTAAAAGTACACTCAGTATGACCCAAACTGCGGTAACAGAAAGCACACTAGTAGTTGTTTCTACATGGGGCAAGGCTAGCTAGGAAGTTTCTGGGTGATGGAAACATTTCAATGTTTTCTATCCTGACCTAGGTGATAGCTACTTTAAGATCTGTATACTTAACTAGATGCAAATGGACTTCAACTTTACATATTTTACAACACAGCTTTTTAATATATTTTTATTGAATTTTTGTGTATTTCATACACAACATCTTAATCATCTTTATACCCCCTTCCCCATCAGCACCCTGCCATAGCCAACCCACTGGATTTCATGCATTCTGTCATTTATGTTAAAGCCTATCAAGTCAAGTTAGTGTCTCTAGACATACCTCAGTACAAGTTCATTCATTGAGGTCTAGTCAGCCTATCTAGAGTCATTCCCTTAAAGAAAATCAGCTCTTCTTCACCCAGCAATAATCAGCTACCTAATAGTTCTTCTGCTAGGATTGGATCAAGCTGCCCATTTCCACAGTTCTATGCTGGGTTTTTGTCTGCTTGAGTTTGCATGCGTCTTGTGCATGCTGACACCGTTGCTCTAGGCTCATACGAGCAAGGTCCCAGGAGCCTGTAAAACTCTATTTCCATGTGGCCATGCACCTCCTCTCTTGTGGGTTCTTGGACAGGACTCCTATATTAAACTTCACCCACCCAGGGCTCAGGGACCATTGCAGAAGAGGGGGCTGATTTTTAGGGAAAAAAAATCAGGTGAAGAAGAAAAAGGAACGATTGTAAACAAGGGTAGAGATGACATCCCAGGTTAGCTTCTGTGTCATGTGACCCACCAGGTGATCAAATCTCCCTAGGACATGATACTTCCAGTGTAAACTGGACACACTAGGATGCTGGTCTCCTAGTTTCTCTAGAGGGAGTTTGGGGTTCTCTACAGAGCCTGGGGACTGATTCCCAGCCTTAGAAATGGGCCTCTGAGGGGTCAGGGCAGCAGACACCCACTAGCTGACATTAGAAATTCAGGGCTGAGAAGACAGTTTTGTTCTCTGGTGTTCTGATGCCTCATGGTCCTCTCAGAGCAGGGAGGTGTGGGGCGTGAGTGCTTCTCTTTGGAGCTGGAGGGAAAAGGCCCAGTGATGGAAGTGAGGCTGGGCTGGCTTTTAGCATCATGGCTTCTGAGATGGACTCTGAGAAGATTCTCACTCCTACCTCAAATACCCCACCCAAGAAAATTCCAAAATAATTCAGCAAATTTATGGAAGCAAAACAGAGAAATGGGAACCTTTCAGAAATGACCAATATTTTATTTTTCCCTCCTCTACAGTTGTCAGAAGCAGAGACTGTCCCCTCTTAACTCTTCATCCCATAACCTGCTATGACATAGGCTGGGGATCAGAGAGGCTTTGTCTATCTGCCTAGAACATGGGATAGATGGGCCAACTCGAGAGGGACTCTTCAGTTCTCTGGCTGAGGTCTCAAGTGGATTCTGTCAGAGAAATCACCAATAGGGATGGGCAGCTGAGGTCCGCAGAGGTGGGGCAGGCTCAGAAGTTCTCATAGTGGTGCACAAAGTGGGCCCGATCCTGCCTGTTGATGAGCTGGCAGGCCTTCTCTACATTCTTGGTCATCCCTGGAGGGCCACAGCTGAACACACCAATCTTGCGCACCTGTCAGAGATTAGAGAGACAAGAGACATGGAGACTTGAGATGCACACTGCCCAGAGAAATCTGCTTTTCCTGCCTGGGCAGAGTAACCTGGGATCTCCTCTGTCTCTGAGAAAGACTCTGAAGCTGGAGAAGGGGGTGGTAAGTCCTGGGACCAGGGTGGAAATTCTTAGCTCAGGATTGAGCTGCAGGGTGCTTGAGAACCAAGACGGGGTGAGAGTGAATCCTAGGGTGGAAGTGGGTGGACTGACCTGTGGATGAACTTCCTGCAGGGAGTTGAAGAAGGGCTCAAAGGGAGGACGGCCAAAGTGGGTGACAGAGCGCAGGCCGGTGAACAGACTCCGGTTCAGCACCTTCTGGAAGTGCCGCTCACAGATGTACTGTGGAGGGGATGGGAGAGGGAAGGGTCACAGCCAGGCACTGCCAGAATCAACTCTTAGCCCTACCTGGCTGGCCCTGACCTACCAGCATGGTGGTCCGGAGGTCAAACTTCTCAGCCAGCTGGGTAATGTAAATGTGTACAGACACCAGGTCCTGGCAGTCATTTTCCTCCACTTCCCGGATGATGTCAGCCAGCCACTCAAACTGCCGCTGAGTCCTCGTCACCCAGATGAAGTAGATCTGAGGACACATGATGGAGCTCAGGACCAGCTCAGCTGAGGCTCCCTATATCCTGAGAGGCTGAGAAGTCTTAGATAATCCATAGAAAGTGACACCCTGCTGAGAGCCACCAGCCTGATCCTGGGTTTCCAACAGACAGGCCAGCAGAGGTCCATCTGGCTACTCCCAAGCCTGCCCTCAAGGTTTGGAATCCAGACAGCTAGGTATAATGGTCCCTAAAGACCCAGTGCTTGGAAGTCAGGAGCACTCTGATGTGATGACTCCATCAGCCACTTATTTTCATCTAAAGAATGGGGGAAGGATGTTACCTTCTTACAGTGCATTTTGCTGCCCAAGGAAGATTTGAAGACCAGGTCTTTGAGGATGGAGGCAAAGGGAGTGACTCCAATGCCCCCTCCCACCAGCACTGACACTTCAAACTTATGCCACTCTTGGTGGCCCTCTCCAAATGGTCCATCGAGGTACAGCTGCCAAGAGAAGGGAAAGTGAGATGAGCCGGGCCTGCCCTTCTGAGACCAAAAATAGGACTAACAGAAGTAGGTGACAGAACAAAGTTTTGAAGCACCCCTTCCCCGGCTGGCCTTGGAATGACTAGGGCACCTAGTGTCATGGCAGAGGGAGGTAGGAACCCTCTGCCAATGCTAGAGGCCCAAATGTGACACTCCCAGGGATGGGCACCTTTGGATATTTGGGACAGATGTCACCCTTTGGGGGTGAGTAGATCTCCCTGAGGCGAGTGGTCCAAGGTCCCACAGCTCGGATATGCAGGCTGAGCATGTCCTCATGGGGTGCAGAGGTCAGTGTGAAGGGGTGGTACTCATTGGTTCCCAGAGCCAGGCTGGCGATCCGCACCCACTGCCCTGATTTGTATTCAAAATCCTGAGGCCGCTGGAACTGCAGGTACGTCACTCCTGGGGGGTCATAGGCAGAGAAGGGCACAGAACAGAAACTATACTTGAGGACTGGCAGGTGCCTGTCCTCTCCACACTCCAGAGACCCGAACAGCCTCACATGGTCACGTGTCTAGGCAGATGGATTCCTGGTGCTAAGAGTAGATGAGTGCCTTTCTGTTTCCTGGGTAATGTAAGGCTTGAGTTTCTCCAATTTGCTCAGTACATCTCCTCTCTCCTTCCTCTTCCTACAAAGGGCGGTGCCTTATACCACTGCCCAAGTCCCACCCAGCAGGGTAAAGGGATGTTTATCAAATCTCCCCCACCTGAGGGTGACTTTTATGATGGGAAATATCTGCACACCTCCACAGTAACATATTTTGTTCCCAAATCTCAGCTGGATATTGTTTGTTGCCAGACCACAGGGAGCTCAGGCCTGCTCATCTTTATTGAAAAAAAAAAAAAAGAGGTTGGCAAGTTTTGGATATTATGAGAGACACACTACTGGCTCCTTTAATATTGTCCTCAAGTAATCTTTATTGAAATGAAATTAATTTCTTTGCAATGGGAGTCCTGAGGTTAGATGACCTTATGACATCACCTTCCACCACCCTCCATGGAGCCATAAATCCCCACTGTGATCAATCTAGATGCAACAGCGTTCTGCTCATCAGGGCCATTTGCCTCTCTCTGACATGGTCATGCCTTGCCCTGCACTCCTCTGTAAAAGGCTATACCCTGGTGTGCGGGTGTGTGGGGGGTCCTGTCCTCAGACTCCTCCACGCCACTTTCACTTTCCTCTTCCCATTGTTGCTTCTCACTGTCTGAAAGTCCCTTTTAAAAAAAAATATTTATGGGGCTGGAGAGATGGCTCAGCAGTTAAGAGCACTAGCTGCTGTAGCTGCTCTTGCAGAGGACCCACCATCCACATGGCAGCCAACAACCGTCTGTAACTCCAGTTCCAGGAGATCCAACGCTTTTTTTTTCTGATGTGCTTGGGCATTGCATGACATGGGTGCACTTACATACATGCAGGTAATATACTCATACATGTAAAAAAATAAGTAAAAATAATAAATTAAAAAAAAATTTTTTGGTGTTTTTGAGACAGGGTCTCCCTGTAGCCCCAGCTGGCCTGG